AAAGGCTTTTAGGGTTTTATTACTTTACCAATTTTGGAATGTAGAAGTAGACGTCGGTTAGGTTAGGCCACTTCGCCAGGCCAATAAGCCCGCATTTTTTACCCAAGTTCGAATTCTGCTAAAGGTAAATTAGATTAAAAAAGATAATTGTGTTTCATAAAAATAGGATTTATTATCTGATTTTTCTTTTAATTTTAATTTTTTTTAATATAAAAAGGTGTGAATTTACCATATTATTCTCATTTAATTAATAATTTCAATTCTTAATTTCGCATTAACCAAGGGCATTTTTTGGTATTTTGAATGTTTTATCATTCTCTACTTTTTGCTTTATATATATAGATATAGACTAATATGGAATAATTTAGATGACCACTTAAAAATATATATCTGTATAACACAAAAATAGAGCATTTCTGCTCACCACTTTAATCTAAGATGTACCGTCATCATCTTTCTTAATTTTTGACATGTGTCATCTCCATGGACATAAGTTCCCATAAATACAAAGCTAAAGAAAAAGTAAAAAGCAATCTTGTTAAGCTGAATTTTTATTTTAAGGTGATATATAACTTTTGTAGAATAGTTCTAATAGCCATGTGCTTGTGATATTTCTTTTGAATTTTGTTCATAACCCTTTTTTTTTTTACGGATGTTACGATAATTTGCAACAAATGTCTCCCTTCTCCCCCAAAATTCCTACTCTTCTCTCTTGAATCCAAAAATTCCCTAAGCCAAGTGGTGGTGGCTACAAATGTTGTTTTAATTAATATTGGGAAGTTATATTTTCATTAGAAAAAAGTATCCTTTAAAAACCAAACCAAGCCGGCCGGTTCAGTCCGATTTAGTTGGTGTTGACAGTTCATCTGTTTTTATGCCCACCCTTTCATTTCAGTTCATCCGTTTTCATGCCCACCACTTTTATATTTTGTGCATTCTGCACCAAGGTAAACGTAAGTTGCATACAATAAAGCTTGCTCTGTTGTGTGGTACTCCCAGGACGAAAGCCAGCAAAACACAAAAAAGGACCAACAATAAGAAATATGAAGAGGAAAATGAATCAATGGCTGTTGTTTGTGTTCTTTAACATAATACTTGCTACAGAAACTGAAACTGGCAGTACCAATCAGGCGGAGAGCAGTAGGGCTGGCCAATGCGGCAACCGCACTCAAGAATTTCTCCATCAGCCAGCTCTGTAGGATACTTTTGCCAACAATCAAGATTTTCTACAGCTAGAGGCATGTCAACATGGCTTCTATCACATGTTAAGAGAAAAGGAACATGCAAGTACAAAACTCTGAAAAACTAGATAATGTTTGGTGTGTCCAAAAGAGAAATATACTACAAATTTCCATTATATTCACATTTCTTGAGCACTCAAATGAATGATCATGGAAGATGTTCTCAAAACTGAGCTAAAACTAAAGCTCGACAACTTGTGTCTATAGGTGCAGCAATAACTTGCTTCAGTAGTTGTGCAGGAGGAAACCTAAGTATGCTGCCTCTTACAGAAGATGTTAAGTAGATTTATCAGGCTTATCACTTTCCTGTTCAGATTTAGAATCTTCCTTTTTCTCCATAACCTGCTGGATTCCTTCTTGGTACCCATGTATAAAACTTTGAAGAGCATCTTTATATGCAGAAGCTCTTGTCATGTAGACACGCTGTAGAGCAGGCTTTAATGTCTCCATTCCTCCTCTAGCAGCCACAGCTATCAGTTTTTATTTCCAGACAAAAACATTAAACATAATCAGATTTCAAACCCACTTAACTGTAAAACTCAAAGATTTCAAACACAGTCAAAGAAGAAAACCCTATTGCGAGAACAACCCAAAAATAAAAAATAAAAAAGTTGTTTTTATCACAATGGATTTGTTTACACCATCATAACCCGAATTTATAAACGGAAGTTTAGAGACACAGGCAATAGACAGAATACAGTAAATCCAGATACAAAACCAGCCAGAAAGAACTGCATAACACAAGTATTTGCTTTATATCTTCCATCCTTATAATATTTGTTGCTCAAACTGGTTTACTTCATCCTCCTTGCATTATCTCAAAAAGATGAACCACTTCCAATCATGATGAAGCAAGTATAAGTATAATGTTTCAAAGTCGTTTGGATATACAAACCGCTTTTAAAAGTAACTTTCTAACCCACTGAGTTCAAGTACTTACAGCAGATTTGGTGCATATAAAATATTTGAAAGGATTTAATTATTATTGTTTATGCTAATTTGCGTATAAATATAACATGACACTAAATGTGACTCAAATCAACAAACCAAAAGCAAAGATCTCTTATGCATCAATAGTCATCTTCATAGTCATATGTATGCATACACCATGTAAAACAACTAGGCTTTTGATTAAGTTATAATTACGACATTGATTGATATGGTAGCATAATGTTGACATTACTTACCAAGATCCTCTAATGTTGAGGGTTCTTTCTCTTTAGCCGGGCCCTGTGGTCTACCAGGTTTATCTTCACTCTCTTCATCCTTAAAATCATTAGGTCGCAGTTCAGGACCAATATCCCGAACCCAGCTGGCAGCATACAGCCTAGAAGCCTCCTTCAACACCTGACAGCCAATACAAGAAGGTATAAATTACCATCCTTCATGTCAATACCACACATTATAAGCTTTAACATATTCCAAGCATTGAAACAAGTTCATATCCAAATGAAAACAAAACAAAAACTCTATCTAAACCTAAAAGAAGAATAAAAGAAACAATAGCCAAATATTTCACTAGCTCAGATGGTCAGAAACAAAATATAAACTTTGACACACAGCACCTTGAATGTCAAAGCATTCTAAAGCCTAAAAATTGGACCCGACCCACATTTTTAAATAAACGCTTTTGCTCAATAGCACTTTTATCAGTACTGCTTTTGCCAGAAGCAATCCAGAGCACGCGGGGACTAGTTTCTTTTACTTCGTAAAGTACATGAAGAATCAAATCAAGCTTTACTTATTATTACTTCAAAATAATCATGAATTAGAGAAATAAATCAATTGGGTATGAATTTGATCAACTGCAAAGCCCACAGCTTGTGTAATGAGAACCAAAGAAAGGCGTACCAAGAACCGTTCATTCCATGTGAGCTTGCGGCGCTTCTTGATATGAGGAGGGTCTGGCAGCGAAGATGGAAATGCAATCTCTTTCAGATCATAGCGAACGTAATCGTACAGCTTCCTACACACCACCTTCACCTTCATTTCTATGATGCCTCTAACTTCTCACTTTGTACCCAATCTTCTAGCCTTCCAGTGACTTCCATACAGAGAGAGGCTTGAAGAAGAAGAATTTCGAAGTTAGAGAGCTGATGGAGTGGAGCGGCTGCAAATTGGGTGAAGATATCCATGGGTCCATGGGTAGGTGGGCTGGACTAGCCCAACCCAAACAGTGCTGGGTTCATCTGAAAAACAAAAAGATAGCAAAAGCCTCAAACAAAGCATTTCTCAAAACCAAACACAAGACTTCGAGTGTAAGCCCAAAATCAATGCTTCATTAGATTAGCTTGTTGGATTGAAACCTCCCCAAACAAACTAAGGTCATTGGCAAAGAAAAAGTGGGATACATAGCAATTCCATTTCTAGCAACCTTCAAAGACTTCCAAGTTCCAAGAGGATACATTATTATTGATAATATGAGATAATTTTTCCGTACATAACACAAAGATATAAGGGGATAGAAGGTCACCTTCCCTAACCCTAGCACTAGGAGAGAACCTTTCAATTAGCTCACCATTGAGAATGACTTGGTACCTAACAAACATGATGAGAACAAGTAACATCATTAATGAAATCCGAATGCAATCATTATAGGCTTTGAAGAGGTCAATTTTTCAAGTAATAAATTCTTGCGCAAAACCTCTTGTTCAACTCGACAATAAACAATCTACTTCCATGGTAGGAAATTAGCTTGAGTTGAACTAACAACCTTCTGCATGATAGGTTTGAGTTGAGTTACAGAGCTAAGACTAACCACTGCATGATAGGTTTGATGCTTGGGCTATAGGTATAAATGTGAGATATTCGATTTTGAGCTTTTACAAACCCAACCAAACTGCTTTCTTGTATCTTAACGGATTAAGTTGAAGAAAAAAAAAGGTGCAAAACAATAGAAGAAACTAATGAAAATAATTGCTAAGGAGAAATCGATGCTAAGGATTCACATAAAATATGATAAATTATGTGCAAGTTAGTTATGTGAGTTATTGGTCCAATGGTGGAGAATGCTAAGAGCTTGCTGTCACAGGTCACTAAGGATGATTTTACTCATATTCGTTGTACTGCCAATGGTGTGGCCCATTGTCTTGCATGCTTCGCTCTTCATATTGGTGCTCTTGTGCATTGGTTTGAGGAACCTTCTTACTTTATTTCAAATATACTTTTTGAGGACTATAACCAATAGTTTTGGGTATGATCTTTAAGGGGACGGGGGATACTCTTTAAAGGGCAAGGTTTCTTCGTCCGCCTTCGGTTGAGAGGGGAGTCTACTCAGTTAATCCGATGACCGAACTCTTATGTGTAGAAAAACTTGCCTAATCCCTTAGGACATAAGCCAATTTTTGTATTTGGTTCTTCTTTTATCAATAAAATTTTATCACCATTTTCTCAAAATATACAAGTTAGTTATTAGCCGAGTAATTCCTTCACTTTATTATTAGAAATCTCAAGTTCGAATTAAACGCTATTTTGAGCCTCCCGCTCTTTCTTTCTTTCTCTTGTTTTAGTTTTTTTTTTTGGGGGTTCAAAGGCCTCCTAAAAGGGAGTTGTATCGGATCGGATCCCGGTTATTCTCCTATATTCGTCCAACGTTTTCTTGTTCCACATTCCACCCTGTCACTCACTGACACACACATTACAATAAGACCAGCCAATCCAAGCTTACCACTTGTTCTGTGGTTTGAAAGCCCAAGCACAAAAAACAAAACAAAAATTAATAAAAAATAAAGAATAAAACCCCAAATTAAGCGCACTATCGCTTTGACACTCCTTTCAGTCATCAGCTATCACTCTCTCTTCCTCTCGCATCGAAAGCCATGGCCACCGCGAGAGTGCTAACCGTCGCCAATACTTCCTGCTTGCTCTCCAAGACGACGTCGTTCCTTGCCAAGCAGGGGCCATACAGCACCAGCCTCTGCTTTACCAGAAGAAGAGCAGCGTCGTCGTTGTCATCGTCGTCCCGGAGGTCCTTCGCTTGCACAGCTATCTACAACCCCGAGGTTCAGATCAAGGAGGAAGGCCTGCCCGAAACCCTAGACTACCGAGTCTTCTTCGTCGACCGTGCTGGTCAAAAGGTTAATTTGGTTTTTTCCCATTTTCGGTTGAATCCTTCTGCTCTGTTTGTTTGTTTGGATTCCGAGAAAATAGAGGAAATGAAAAATGTGGAAGCTCCTCATAAATGGGGTTTAATACCATTTTTATGCATTACTGAGGCATTTGGATTTTTATATATTCAAATGAGATATTTGAATTGATTTTGATTTTAGACGGCATAGATCATTTGCTTCTTTGAGGTCTCTCTCTTTCAAATTTTAATTTTATTTTCAATTTTCAGGTTTCCAGACTGATATAATGCACCTGTTTGTAATTGTAGAAATATGGTTTTGTGTTTTCTTATTTTGAGATTAAGTTCTGACTGTCTCTGAGTGATTCTTAGTTCGAACTTGTATTTAAAAGAGTGAATATGTGTATGCAATTGTAAAAGGAATTTAAATTCCCGGTGTTCAGACACATGGTTGGGTTTCGACATGCTTATAAGTTGACTTTTATCTCAATCTGCTAAAACAACGTGTTGGTTTATATAATGTAGGTTTCACCTTGGCATGATATACCTTTGCAAGTGGGTAATGGTGTATTCAACTTTGTGGTTGAAATACCCAAAGAATCGAGTGCAAAGATGGAGCTTGCTACTGATGAACCACACACTCCGATAAAGCAGGATACAAAGAAAGGAAAACTTCGTTACTATCCGTAAGATTTAGTTTTTACTTTTCCTAAGGTTATATTATAATGTTTGTCCTTGTCTTGGTGCTTGAATATGTTACTGTTGTATCAAGTTTAATTTTTGGCTAAGGCAGCATCATGAATTAGAAGATAAGCCACTGTTGGTGCAGATAATCTTTTGTTTTTCAATTTCATAGATGCACAGATTTTATTTGTTTATTTGGCCTGATAGATGCACACAGAAACAGTTTGATATGTAAGTTTAGTTGTTTTTTGTGCTCCATCGTTTATTTTTTAAGGTAAGGGACAATAATCTATATCAAGCGTGTAGATGCAGCCCCATTTTGCATGTGGAGAGGCATACAAGTGCAAGGAGCTCTTGAAACATATAAGTGTATCCCCATCCTGCAACTTGCAAACCAAGAAAAAAAAAAGGGGAATGGGGACTGAATCCAGGACCTCTTTCAAAAGTTTAAGAATTTAGGAAATGGCCAACAATATATATCAAGCTTAAACTTTCTTCCTATAGTAGTGAGTCTCATCCCACTAATCTTACTGTATTTCTTCCTATTGAAATGTCATCACATTACTCACATACTCTAGTAGTTACCCATTAGCCCACTTCCAAGTTCCAACCAATCCACCCTCATTCAACAAATCTTTCTTTCTTCATGCTGTAACCCCATCATATTACACATGCAAACCCTGCTGGGAATCACATATGCGAAATGTTGACTATCCCCCACTTCTGTTAAACAATTTCAATAATATAATTTGAAACTAAGGTTATTGTAATAATTACACATTACCCCTCTTCTAACTTACTCCTTTCATCTTACATATCTAATGGCCATGGATTTGATCAATTACTCTTCTCACTTTGAGAGCATACATACATATATGTTGGTGTAAAGCATAATTTCTCTTTTTCTACTGCAACCACCATCACATTGCACAAATAGTGTGTGCACGATCTAGTTTTTAACATATAATTAAATTCCCTAAAGTTATCTTTTGCTAGTAACTTTATAATCCTTCTCAGCTACAATATAAATTGGAATTATGGATTGCTTCCACAAACATGGGAAGACCCATCCCTTGCTAATGGTGAAGTTGAAGGAGCATTTGGGGATAATGATCCAGGTATGTCTACTTATCCGTTTTTGCCAATTTCTGTCCTCGCTGAGTGTTACCTAAAGAAGGAAATTTAAAACCTTTGTTTTTTTTTTTGTGTGTGTGTCATCTAAACCCTAATTTAAAACCGTTATTTTTGCTACAAATTGTAGTTGATGTTGTTGAGATAGGCGAAAGTCGGAGAAAGATTGGCGAGGTTCTCAAAGTAAAGCCCTTGGCTGCATTAGCTATGATTGATGAAGGGGAACTTGACTGGAAAATTGTTGCAATTTCATTGGATGATCCCAAAGCTTCTCTTGTCAATGACATTGATGATGTTGAGAAGCATTTTCCGGTATGTACTTCTTGTTAACCAAGCACTAACAGATTTCCCAATTACGCACTCACCAAACATAGAAACCTTGATTAATGGGTATTTATTGTTTTAGGTGTTTTGAATTTTTAAATTCTTATGATTACTGTATGAGAAATGGATATAAGTCTACCCTCTCTTTTGAGCAGAGTGGGTAACTATGGCGGGCGTTTACGCTAAAATGAAAATGGTGATACATGTTCTTTACAAAAAAAGAGGATAAATATTCTTATAGAAGACAAACGCTTTTTGTTGTGCATAAGATCACGTTTACCCTATCAGATCTTACTTTATGCAGAATGAATCCATTAGCCACATTAGCATTTGTACTTGGACATTAATAAATTGCTCTAAAAAGAATAATTACGGTTAAAAGTGCCAAAACCTGTGGGGCTTAATGCTGTGGTTTACATCAGGGGACTCTCACTGCAATAAGGGACTGGTTTAGAGACTACAAGATCCCTGATGGAAAGCCTGCTAACAAGTTTGGTCTTGGCAACAAAGCTGCAAACAAGGTAATTTTACAGTTATCTTTCAATTGCTATCCTTGAATTTATTTATTTATTTATTTATTTATTTTTTTGGGTAAAACCTGAATTTATTTTGAATACTATTGGTTTTTTTTTCTTTCTATTGTCTAATTGTATCTAGGTTGCCAAGTTGCCATTATCAAGAGTCTTTCTTTATATTATTTTTGCTTCTTTTTATTTTGCATGGTTGGTTCCTTTAATGATTCAGTCACCAGTTACCAATGACCTTATGACCTAGTAGCATAGTCCTCCTTGTCAAATGCAAGTGTTGCAAGGAGTCATGACAAGATTTGAGTTCAAAACTAGTTAAGGGGAAAGGGTAAAGGTAATTGAAGGACTACTCCTGTTTTAAAGTCCGTTTCTTTGTTCCAATATATATAGTGATGGGCTTAGAAAATGCATTTGTCTAAGTACAATCTAATTTTGGATTGTAAAGTCTTCAATAATTGCATATGTAAAAGCATAATTCATGTCAAATGTTGACTGTATCAAGAGTTGACTTCAAAACCAGGCAGTGGGACTAGGGGTGGCAGAGGTACTCGTTTCCGTTGCAGTGTATCTATTTGTTTTTTATTTGGTTTGACTTGTTTGCTGGAGTCAATATTGAGCGATAGGGCATGCTTCAAACAGAATTCCACATGATGTCCCACAACATGAAGGTATTCGAAACATGATTGTAAATCCAACAGCCTTTGCTGGACAGTTATTTCAGGTGTCAACTCATACATCAATGTGGAATTAGTGTAGTAGTCATGACAGGTAGGACAATATACCTGGCATTTTAAATAGGTTGTGAAAGCTGTAGTTCTACAACATCTGTCTCAGTCCTTTGGGCTTGACCTTCTGATGCAGGAGAATCTACAGGGCTTTCCAAGACTATGTGGCCAACTTGGCTTGGGTTATACTTAGTTTAGGGTTTTAGTTGTTTCCTTGTCTTTTATTTGTCTTTTTTGAGTTTTATGTTTTATTTAGTTTGACAAATGATAGTTATACTCCTGGTCCTTTCAAGCACTCATCTGATTGCTGTGAGTGTTTAAGTATTTTGGAGGGCCATGATTAAGTAGTTATTAGTATGCAAGGGGTAGGATGCTAGGGCTGCTGTAACCCTAGTTTAAATACTCTTTCAAGAGGATTTGTGACCTAGGTCTGCACTTTGGTTGGACGTGGTAGAGGTTGTTGATGAGGAAACCAAGCCCAACAACAGAGATGGCTGAGCTCTGGCATATGATTGAAGATTTGGGAAGAGTGATACAAGCTCTTCAATGACAGGAACCTGTGGAAGCCTGTGCATAGATTCCAGAAGGCAATTGCAACTCCTTGGACATATCAGAAGGTGGTTTTAAGGATGAAGGTTGTGAAGAATATGCATGATGCTAGAAACCAAGAATATCGGGATCATAGTAGACAGTTAGTTTTGATTATTCAGGTGTGGTTTATGATATCGTGGAGTGAGTTTGGCAACCAGTTAAGTATAAGTCAAATGTTTCGTTGTTGATGAAATTTTGGATGACTTGGAATATGATGGGTTTTCTTATTATTCTAGATATCCTTGCCAGTATTTAATTGTTGTTCATAAGATGATTGCAAAGTTTATTTGGGGTTAGAACTTTTGACAAAATATTTTGGTGAGTAAAAAAGAAGTTGGTGTTGAAAAACTTTTGAAGGAAGATGGTGCAAGAAATTCTTGAAGACAGCATTGAAGATAAGCTCATAACCCTAAATTCCCAGGACCAGATGAATTTTTTAGATAATAATACTTCTGAATGTGTTGATTTTATCGGGGTTGAAATTTTAGTTTGTGATTGTCAAGAGTTTGGGTGATCTTCTAACTCATGAGAAAATTGATGTCAATAAATAACGGGTTTCAAGATTGATAATTGAGAATGAATGTAATGGTTTAAAATGAGCCAATATTCCAAGTATCGCTTTGTTTGGATGGGAAGTATTCAGTTTCGAGCCCAAAAGTCCAGATGAGTTTAGTCAATGAAATTAGAGATAATACTTGGACAATCTTTACGAAAGCAATTAAAATTGAAGTTTGCTATCTTCGATGGAAAGTTGCAAGCAGGAGATAATATATATTTCATTAGCTGGAACTACGCTTCTGCTGCATGTATGGGGTGTGATTTCACCAAAAAGTACATTTCGAATCAGGTACTATAGTCAAATTGGCTTTGAATGTGGAAGTATTCCTGTTCTGTTACTGTTGCGATGCTCGGAGAATGCCGAACTGCTAGAATTTTCGCCTTTGACTTTTGTCATGATTCTTGTGTTCCACCGTAATTCTTTTTCTCCCCACTCTTTGATAGATTGTAATCGAAAGCTTTGAATTTGTGTTTGTCTATTCTATTCTATCTGTAAGTCAAATGCCAAGGAAATGTTAAGGGCTAAGCTTGAAACCTCTTTTCCAATGCCAAAGAAGCTTCAACCATGCACTTTTCCCGGCCATGATGGTCATGATCTGCTCTTGCTTTTGCAGACAATTGTTCTTATCTGAAACCCGTATCGTTTTGAGTGGCAAGACTTCGACACCAAAAATAGTTGTTGCAGGTGGTGCCATAGATGAAGAAGCTAGAAATTAACTAAAGGGTAGGTCGGTGTGCCTTTGAAATTGACATAAAGTCCTCGTGTATATAATAAACAATAAGATATCGATTAAGTAAAATTACTAATACCAGCAAATAGAAGAGTCTGGGATGCACATGATTGGCCTTAAAAAGAGTAAAATTCCAGCAAACAATGGTTACCAAAGCTACCCACGTTGCACTCCTTTGCTTATTTTTCTTACTAAAATCCTTTTTCTTGGTTTTTCCTTTTGTCTAAGATACTTTTTTTAAGTAATTAAAGTGATTTTTTGTTAGTTTTTTTTTATTTTTTATGTCAAACGGAATAAACTTTTATTATATAGAATTTAAACTTGGAATTTATGACCTCCAAATTCCATATTTTTTTCCACGTGGAATTTTCAAATTTCTTCATTTTGTTATCCAGACAAGAATTGGTGTATGTCCATTTACAATTTCTGATTCTTGTCCAAGTCCCAAGTTTATTTCCCTCATTCCTGATAGATAGGTTTACATCACTAGTGAGAGAATCAAATAGCCAAAACAGTACGAGTGCTTCAAACGAGCCTAATAGTGTACTTTTGGTATGGGAACTAAGCTTGAAAAGCTCTCTACGTTCTGCGCATAAGAACAGTGAACACAACCTGAATATATATAGTACAAACAATCAACAAACAAAACTATATTGGTAGACGTAGACCTATGTTTGCTCCCAACTCAAGCTTGTTGCCTTTTTTGACAGAAACTATACTATTCACACAATCAACGGCTTGCACCACATTGCTTCCACTGTAGTGGTAAGCAGTGGTCTTAAGGGGAAGATACTTAACATTTCCGGTCCCGGGATTGTAGGAGACAATACGTCCATCTGTGGCAATCATAAGAACCTCGTGGCTGTTCCCAAACAACATTACATCTGGATAGATGTCCGTGGGAGCTCATTAGAGGTGAAGCATTTTGTCCAAGAGGATGTTTGAGCGTCAAGAAACAAGTCATCCATCACCCATATATCAAAAATGGCACCACAAACCTTGAAGAGTGCGATGGATTCTTCATTCCACACTGCAAGCTGTTTGCGCTGAAAGGGGATCATGTTGTAACCATCCGGAGGCTTCACACAACGGAAGACCTTGTCACCCCGAATCAAACCATATAACCATATACCTAAGCGTTCACCCACGCATCTGTCATTCGTCTGCGAATTCCTTGCGTTGCTCAACTCCGTTCCAGTAAAAAAAAAAAAATTTGAAGCAGGTTTGGAAATGTTCAGGCCAAGATCTAGTAGTTTCCGTTTCCAAAGAGTCATTCTCGAAAAACCGTTAGTGTTCAATGTGTCCATGCCTATCGACTTTGGCAGGATTAATAACCATACGCTCGCCATACTGTTCTTCACCACAATATAGAATGCGAACAACTTTGTAGGACATAGTTTTGGGATCATAGCCAAATCCTGTCTTCAGAAAGAATTTCAAATTCTTTTATTACTGGTGTCTTCAGAAATAGAAGAAAGATGCCGTCACAATGACCTACAATTCCTACACGGCTATATTGCTCAACCTCAATGATTTGGCCTTGGCCTCTAGTGTGTAGACCCATAGAAGGCGGAAAATGAAGATCCTCAACAACACAACCATCTAGGTTATCATTCAACAAGTCATCATTCGGAAGATTAAGTAGTGAAAATAGTATTTTGTCCTTGTAGATGTTGATGTCCGGCGACCAACCTATAGAGGCATAGAGCTTGAAAAGGACATGTGGAGGTGGATGAGGATTGGTTGTCAAGTGCCGGAGGTACAACGAAGGATGGATGGTTTATTATTGAGTTCCATGACTTACGGACGCACTTGAATCGCTTAAGAGATTTAGGAGGCAGTCTTGATAGGAATTCCTCCATGAACGTCTCTCCATGCACCACTTTGCAAGGCTTCGCCATTGATATATATTATGCTCTTCTCTGTCTCTTTAATACCAACTCACAATATAAGTCAATATAAGTCAAGAAGAATGAATTACCTTCACAGCTTTATTTATATGCTATATTTAGAGACAAATAAAAATTCAAATGAATTACCTTCACAGCTTTATATGCTATATTTAAAAACAATAAAAATCCAGTTTGGTATTGTTGATAAGGAAATAAGGAATTTTATTTTAATGCGGCAAACAAATCTGCTGTGCACGCTATGGGTGGCTCAGGTTGACAAATAAAATCTTTATTTGTTGTGAACTTGTGATTGCAAACAATCAACACAATAATACCATTAAGAATAATGCATATGCTATATTTAGAGACAAATAAAAATTCAAATGAATTACCTTCACAGCTTTATATGCTATATTTAGAAACAATAAAAATCCAGTTTGGTATTGTTGATAAGGAAATAAGGAATTTTCTTTTAATGCGGCAAACAAATCTGCTGTGCACGCTATGGGTGGCTCAGGTTGACAAATAAAATCTTTATTTGTTGTGAACTTGTGATTGCAAACAATCAACACAATAATACCATTAAATAGATGAAAAATCATTTCTAATCCCCGAAATGAAAAATCATTCACCTACCTTCATTTCCCCCTTTCTCTTCTATGTATCTGTTTTCTTTTCATAACATAAATCAAGACACTTAAAGCTAAGGATATATCTTCATGCGTGAGAGACTCATATATGAAGAATGAATTTTACTTTCACTACTTTTTGCTATATTTAGGTAAAGCACAAAATGGTATAAATACTTCGTAAAATACATGTTGTCGCACGAGAAAATGCTCAAATTATTAATTTGCATTTTGTACAATCCTTGAACAAAAGTTCAAAGAGGAAAACAAATATAAACACATCCATTGGAAAATAAAAATGTAAATAAATAATTTTTAAAAAGTTGCACTTCAGACCATATTTACAGGAATTAACGGAACCTACTAGGCTACTAGACAAGACCTGAATATGTGACACAGTGACAGGTTGCAATCAAAGCTAAGAGAAAAAGGCCAAGTCTTAGGGTTCAGCGGCAGATTCAGTTGTTTCTGTCTTCTTCCCTTTAAGCAATGGTGTTGTGTTTGACCTTTCAGTTGTCGAGATCTGATTCTCACTTTCTTCGTTAAATCTATCCACGCTGTGCAGAAAGATTCCTGTAGGGGTATACAAACAAGGATTACAAAAACTCTAGGACTGATCTCAGTTTTGGTCCCTCTCTATTGTGCCAATGTTATTGAAGAGCCCGTAATTATGAACTCGATTAAATTTCAGATAAGTTGATCATAGTAATGTATGCAAAGAACCCTCTTGGGGAAAGGAAAGAAAGAAAGCACAAAATTAACTATAGCTGTTTTCCACCCAAAAATGTTGACTTAGTTATTGGGAATTTGTCGAACATCCTTGCCCTTAATAAAATTCTATTGTCTCACAAATCATCAGTTGGAATGGTTCCATAATAAAGTAACGGAATAACTAACTGTAACTTACCTATAAACCATACTCCTGCTGCTGGAATGAAAATAGATGTTAAAATAAGAGCAGTCGCCCTCCAGTTGTTAATGGAATCCTGTGCAGTCAAAACCAAACCAAAGCCAAAAGGAAAAAGAACGTACTCAATTAGAATGTGCAACTCATGATTAATAGGTTCATAGTACAGATGAAAGGAAACAGATCGGTCCATGCTATATACCTGGAGAACTCCAACAAGAGGTGCGGAAGGTACATCCCCAAAAAGGTGAATTGAAACAGTAGAAATAGCCATAGATAGTGGCCTCATACTAGGTTTAACACAATGGAGACAAATGTAATTTACAGGGCCCTGCAAAGGTAAATTGAATATTCCAGTTCAGTGAATATTCCAGTTCTGGCAATAAATGTCTTAGTACAGTGAATATTCTGGTTATGGCAATAAATGTCTTCCATGCTAACAGTTTAATACGGTAACCATCTAGTTCTTAAGCCAAATAATAGGAAAAAATTTCTTTCAATAGGAATGTACCTGAGTTGCAAAGACAAGTAGTTCCCCAACTGCAAAAAGAGCTAGGAAAGCATACATGTTCTTGAAGCAAAAGGCACCGAAGCAAAATGCTCCTCCAAGTAACGTTACTGCTGAAAGAAGCTGCAACAAAGTCCAAGTACAGTATTTAAACATGCAATGAGGAAAAGAAACAAAAAGGAAAAAACTGACTCGGATAATGAATACATAAGTTCATACACAAGCAATAACAACAAGACTGCAAGAAACCTCTACAGAGTTTTCTCAAATTTGTATCAGAGAAAAACCTTTAGTTCTTTGATTAATTTTAAGGACATAAACCCCAAATCCCTGGGGAAAGCTTGCAGTGCAACTCCATTTTCATCTTCTATTCCTCATAGAAGTATATGAAGAAAGGCGTCAGCAGTCAATATACGCCATAAAAATACTTTAGGATGAGGTCATTTTTGCATATCCTAGTTTAGCTTGTATATTGGTGAAGTATTGCTTTGCAATGTTATTCATATTCCATATCCATATTCTTCTCTTCATTTTTATTAGAAGTAACCGTATCTATAACCTTCTGATGTCTCATAAAAACAAAATCACAGAAGGGTTATTTTTTCTGATGGTTAAAACATGGGATGTTGCATTTCAAAGCAACTGTGATTATCTTTCCTAATCGCCAAAGTTTTTAATCCTGCAAATGGGTCAGAGCATTTCATTCATCTCTTTGTTTCTGTGCAATATTTAGGAATACCACTGAGGCTGGATACCCAGGAGACATTAAATTTTGGTGGACTACTCCACTACACTGTTTCTATGGAGATCTTTTTCATCCCTCTTTCCTCAGAACTACCTCAGGTGTCTATTCCTTCTACTCAATATGAATCTCTTTATCTTTTGGTGGAATTTGATCCTCCATGTGTATATGCATGCATGATTTGATATTTAAAAACTTATAAACTCTGTTGATTTACCACAATTCTCAAAAATTAAGCCAGTAGAATGTGGATCAACAATTAAGATACTCACATGCACCTTCATGTGGGCCTAATATGTGGAATTCAACTTAATTAGGAAGTTGGACTTATAAGGATCCGATCTCAGGATCTCCTACTTTTAGGTTGAAATCAGGGTCTCCTACTTTGATTAGTGGATAACCTTTTGCTGGTTTACCACTACTCTCAAAAACTAAAGCAGTCAGGATGTGAACATTTACTATAAGAAAAACAAAATAACCAATTGCCATAATGAAAAAGATCTGCTAAGAGAACAAACAAAAGCCAAAAGACCAACTGTCAGTTTGAAAAGGCAATGGACTAGCTCAGTTTTTCATGCACAAAAGCCAAGAGAAAGAAAATAATGCATTCGGTAAATGTTAAGCAACAGTATCAAGAAAGATATTCTAGATCCCAATAAACACAGAACACCTACCTTGAAAGCATTAGAGATAGTGCTATTGATATAATCCAGAACAAAACCTCCTGCTAGTGTGCCCAATATTCCACACACAATTGTAATACCTCCAAATATCAAATCTGCATCATTCTGCCAAAATACCATGAATTTAAAGCAGGGTTACCAAGTTTATCTAGCTATAACCCAACCACTATCAATCATGATCATTGAAAGAAAAAGAAAGAAAGGAAAACCATATATTGAATTATACAAATCAATACGGTCAAGTTAAATGCTTACCATATGATATATATTATAACCAGCCTTAGGCCCCCAATACGAGTATGCACCTATGACAAAGTTGTATGCTATATAACCTAAGAATGAAAATTCCAGAGTTTCAAAGAATTAGCATATAGATCATAAACCAAAGAAATTCAGTCTTTATTTTATTTTATCAAGAAACAACCATGACCCAAAGAAATTCACATACAAAAGATGGTAGGTAAAGCAGGTGGAGAAAAAGAAAGATAGGTACCTAGAACATTAACAACATAAACCTTTTCAACCAAAAGCACCTTCATATCTTTCATAAACCTTGAAATTTGATTCATTATTTTTGTCCCAACTTTTAGCCTGCCATAAAATAAGATCTTAGGTATCAGATACATAATTATGTTTATGATAACTGCTATAACTTATGAGCATACGAGCATGTGACAATAACATGGGAAGTTATCAGAACCAATAGTTTGGCCGGTCAAATGTAACACTGTCATGCCAAGTGGAACCCACACAAACTTCATCACAGAGAACCAATAGTCTGTTATGTTATCCTTACAATGTCTAATGCAACCCCTTACAGTTGAAAACACATGCATCTAAAAGTTTACACTTTGTTAATATTCAAGGTGAATGCTCTGTGATGACAATTAAGGTAATCAAATCTGAAAACCGTTGATTGGTAAGCTCCATATAGTTTCTGCTAACAAAACAAACACCTAAACATATATGATGCTAACAATAATTGTACTAATCCACATGTCTCTCTCCCATCAATCAAATTGGTACTAGTCAAAGATAATTTAATCCATAATAATTATCAAATTGAATCCAGAGAATTGAATCGAAGGTCCCTACAAGGTCCAGTGGCAGTATATAGAAGCACAAATCTAAAAAATATATACATATATATGAGCTTAAGGATGAGTGACTCACTTGGAAGATTTCTGTATGGTAGAATTTCTGAGATCTTCCTTAATGGAAAAGGAACCATCTTTACCATTCAAATTACCTGAACCTGTGCAGAGTTTTTTTTTAAAAAAAAAAAAGATAATTAGCAATGTCAAAGGGAAAAAATAACTATCAAGACAAATATTATGAACAGAAAGGAAATTTTCTCTATCCTGATAAAGGAAAAAGGGTGACATCAAATATTATCAATGGTTACCGGTCACAAAAGAGGGACAAAGACTAGGGAAAAGGTGATAATTCACATAATTGAAATTTTAAAACACATATTTTCCAGCATATGAGTTCATGCTTGTATTATGTTATATGCCTAATAGCATATCCACTAACTTGACCAATAGTAATAATTCCTTTGTAATCCATAACATGATGGTCAGAGTTTAGTCAGCATCATGAGCTTCAAGCTGCTACCAGGAAACTTAATTGCGAAGCAATCTTCTTACATGATAGGCATTTAGAGATTTGTCATGAAAGTTTCCCTCTTTTTTTTAAATAAAAAAAGAAAAGAAACAAATTTACATCCTGAAAACAATAAAATTACATAGGCAGTGGACAAGATGGCCACACCAAGGAAAGCACAAACCCAGTTAAAGCAGATAAACAATTGTACTCTTAAGGTAAGGCATAATCAAAACAACACAGGGCCTAATTAATAGCAGCGTTCCAATGTAACCAAATTGTCATGAAAGTTTATCAGACAGACCTATCCTAATACAAATTTTTATGTGAACTCAATTAGCTTTTATCCCAAAAGTATAATTTGGGAAAAGGCCTCATGCAAAATTAATAAAACTCCTACAAAATACAGTTGGGCACTATAAAATGACAGTAAAATAGCAAAGTTACTCATTGATGAATGCTTCATATCGACAGAGCTAATTGGAGATGTTCCAACTTATTAAAATCTATTGTGCAGCTAGTTAGAGACTTAAAAAAGGCCTACTATCTACAGATACAGCTTTCCTCAATATCATATGTATCAGCACCTTGGACTTCTGAGACAGCTGTCTCCACTGCTGTTAGTGCTTTTGTTGATTCAGGATGAAAAAAACCTGAAATCAGAAATCACTTAGTAATGATCGTCAAAACTTGATGAACGACAATTAATCAATGCATAAAAGACTAAAAGTACACCTTTCAGCTGCAAAGGCTTCATAATAAATCCTAGAATAGCGAATGGAAGCATCAGGATTGCCTCCCCCCAAAAAGCATAACGCCAATTGGAATGACTTCCAACCTATGTATTAGAAAATGAGAGATAATCATAAATTTATCAACATGGGACCAAGTGAGGAACACCAAACCAAAAGCAAAAATGCACTTTTTATGTAGATTTCTGTTGTCTAGCAATTATATGTTGACCAAGAGACCGTATTTTCCAAATAAAACTGACCCATGTAGCAAACAAGTATAACTTACCAAACCACCATAAACATAGCCAAGTGCATATCCACTTGGTATGCACATATAGAATATAGAAAGCCACGCAGTTTTCTGAGATAAAAGACAGGGCAGGGCATAAGTCAGTTGACAGCAGATCTAAAAATAACAGATAAAATTAACGAAAAAAAAAAGAAAAAAAAAGAAACGAGGTGGATACAATTTCAGGACGAATATTTGGTGGGGTTGAGTACAGAAAACATACTACTGAGAACATATCCAAAAGTTAGTGACAGTTTAGGAAAAGCCTAAACTCCTACCAAATGAAGCCAAGATGGCACCGCAACTCCAATATACTTCTGATAGTAAACCATATATGCTCTGTGGCAACGCATAACACATGCCAAAGCAAGACTTACCAAAACCATAGAATGGATATAATGAAACTAAATAATATAATATTAATACCGCACTAATCTCAAATCAAACAAATTCAAAATGTTAGGTATACTATGAAACAAAAGAAATCATACCTGAGCAGCTGGGGCATTATCATCAATGAATGGAGCTGCAAGACTAATAAATGAAGCCTCCCCAACACCAACTAACCTGTAGACAACAAAAAACGCATTAAAACAAGCAAAACAAACCAACTTGATCAAACAGTAGCCCACGTTACTGGATTACTAAAAAATGTGATATCAAAGAGAAAGAAATTGTGCAAGGGGGTATAGATATAGCAATAAAACAAGAAGGATTAAATTACTTACATGCGGCAGAAAGTAATGGACCAGAAGTTGAATGAAAAACCACAACCAATTGTAGCAAAGGTCCAAACTGATAATCCAACTCCAATGAGCCTAAACGGACTTACACTGCAAAATTTAATAACTACATAGATGAGAAATCGCAGAGAAAAAGGCTTAAAACAAGCAGTAGTCACCTTAGCTCGCATCAAAGGGTTAAAACAATTTAGTAGTAATAGTTAAGGTTATAGCACTAGGGATATTTGCAATATTTCTATCAAGGTTCTCTAGTAATCACCTTAGAGAAACTTTAACATTTCTCTACAACCAAAGTTCCCTGTAAAATTCTTCCAAAAATAACTCTGCAAATAATTTCTTCCACGTTCATGATCATCAAGGAACCATTGGTATTCGGCATTTTATCTGCACTTGCATTAACTTCAAATTCAACTGTATTCAGTATTAATCTTTCATCAATTTTATTCTAGAAATACAAATCTTATTTATCAAATTTGAGTTAACATTCTAATGTGTATCGCATTCTCTTGTCCATACACCTAGCTGCACTGTGTCTCTATTAGCAAGGAAGTGCCCCATTTTGAAGACAAATTGTTATGGAGCTCCAGGAAAAAATATTGGGGTAAATAGATATTCATCCTTGGATAAAAAAATATAATTCATAAAGCCTGATTGTTATATTGAATTTTTGTCGTGGTTCTTTGATTCGGTACATTATTTGGAATATGTGTACATACATTAATATTCCAAATGTACCTACGAATATTAATATACAAAGAATTTGTACCTAAGTACATTCATAATAATGTACCTAATCAATGGACCAAGATCAGAATCCAAATCAGAATCCAACCTATCACCAAGGTTCAATGAAAACAAGATCTTATCTAAGGATTCTATAAATTATTATCGGCTTTATTTGAGTGGAGTAGGAAGGATTCCTATTCTTATCTTCCTGTAGATTTTATCTTCACTAATACACTCTGGCATTTTATTATATCTTTTGTACATTGGTTGTGCCCCTTAGTCACTTAGCCAGAAAAGAAAAAAATCTATACTTGCTTTTTTGATAAATATATACTACTAATCACCAAAAACAAAAAAATGATTCTGTTCAAATGTATTGAAATCTCGGCTTCAAAGTTATGCACCTGCCTAGAAAATGCTATTCCATGGTAGCCTAATGCGATAATAGGTGATTGTTACCTCTTTGCTAATGATGCAAATATAGGAGAAGCCAAAAGAAGTCCAACCATAAAAGCTGATGAGAGAACTCCATCTTCAAAGTTGCTCAAGTTAAAATCCCCCCTGCATACAAAAGGAAATTAAGGATATAAATGCTGTCCAGGATTAATTATATGGCAAGTAAAACATTTATTAGAAAAGAGGGAAAAGAAATACAATTATTATAGGCATGAAGTATACAAGAAGGGAAGAAAAGCCCAGCAGAAGCTTAAAAAGAACAAAAACAAAGGCATGGAGTCTAAAAGCACAAGAAAAGGTTGTACAAATCTTCAAATGTATATCCATGTAAAATCTTATGCCCAAAGAAATGGTGAGATGTTTAAGCCAAAGATAAAAAGGAATTTAGCCATCTCAAATACTACATGTTCCAAGCATCATGTAATAAACAGAACATAAATTGGTTTAAAATGGATAAAACACGGGCAACTGACATGCAACTGCCTCGACCTCAAAGCCTTAACACTGCCTCAGTTGGTGGATATTCTTCACACACCATAGTAAGTACATTAATCAAAGAAAATTTTAAGCAACTTCTCAACTAAGGAGCTCTTAGAAATAGATAAAACCTCTATATCAATAACAACATAACCACATGGAGACAACATTTGTTTCTTTTCAAAACCTCAATAACATTTCTATAACATAGCACCTACAACATTAGACAACATGACAACTCAGCACATTTAAGTAAATGGAATCAAACAATGCATGAAGAAAACCCAATTCGAAAAGCAAGAGAATCAAGGAAACCTCCAAATAATTCTTACTGTATCCCGGTACCGGATGTGCATACACCACTTTCTGTACAAGTTCCGAGGCTCCCATTGACACCATTGCTTGCTATTGCTCCTCGGTCCACATAATTTAACAAGTTAATCACGCAAAAGATAGCAAGTAACCTGCAATCACAGCATAAGAACATTTATTACACACGGTAACGAAAACCAAGATACTGATGGCTCTAAAGTGGCTCACTAGTCTTGCATACCTTCAAATGATACTTGACTCAACCCCAGCTCAAAGTTCAATGAACTGGATTATAATTATATTCAACTCCATATCATTCCTTTACATGATTCTCACCACCCCTTTTCATGTTCAAAACAGTTTGCTAATTTAGCATCCAAACAGTTTTCACTCTTTTCCCCTTCCTTCCATACAACTCACCAATAAAACAATAGTGCCCGCAAAAGAAAACGAAAAAAAACCCAATTTCCGTTCGGTTGCGGAGAAAGTAGAGAGAAAAACTAAGAAATCAAAGTTCAAAACCAAAATTTCTGAGCCCAACTAAGCCAGCAAATCTTTTCTACAACGCCCTAGTCGTATACGAATTCTCGTTCCTTTTCCAGACCCAAGTAACAAAACCAACCAAAAACAAAAAACAAAAGTCAAACCTTTATCTTGATTTCCCATATTTTCTCAGCAACCAAGCAGACCCAAGAACCAAAAAACAAACTGGAACAAATAAAAAAGTACCTCTTGGGCGTGAACCACGAAGGAGCCGGAGCTGCGGTTGAAGCAATGACCATGGCTGGCTCCGCAGGAGGCTTAACTTCTTCAGAAGTCTTTGCTTCTTTTTGAGCCATTAGAAGAAGTAATGGTAAATATAATATAACACAATTACTTCAGTGAAAATATCTTTTGGTGAAAAAGTAATGTAAAATATTGATATTTCTGAGTTGGGTTTTGAATGGTGGTTGAGGGCAAGTGTTTTCTTGACCTCTTCTTCCTCCCACTGCTAATAAAATTTGGAGGCTTCCTTTGTTGCCATCAGCCTCTCACTTTTATGTAAAGTGAAACAAGTAATTTGCTTTCCACCATCCTTTTTCACTTTTGGAGTTTGAGTTTGACAAGGATTGATCATAGTTTCAAAGATCATGGTACCAATTATCATGTTGCCAAAATGTTTAGAAGAATACAAAAAAAGAGGTGTGCTATGCAGTTTGGAATGATGCGGTTTAAGAATGTCTTTTAGTTACCATTACCTCTTTATCCAACTATTAATATGTTGACACATTGTTAAATAATTATTTAATTAATTAATTTTAGAAATCAGTTGGTACGGGTTTTTATTAGTTTGGACTTCGAGATATTCCAATTCCACCCGATCCTTTAACCAAAATTTTCGGTTCAGATGAAATCAAACTTTACAATAAAGAAATTAATTTAGAAACTGTTAAATTTATCGGTTCATGCCGGACTTCAAATACCAACATTAAAATCAAATTTTAATGTATTTTTATGAAAAAGCAAAACAGTTGGACTTTAATATTTCGATTGGAGCGAGTCTCAACTACTTTTCTACATCTTAAAAATGCCATTTGACACTTTCTTTAAAAGAAATTAACATACCTTGAAACTTACAATAATAAAAAGTTGTGCCTCAATTCTTATTCTCTCTTATCTCTTCCCTCCCTCCACCAATCCCCAAAAAACGTTATTCAATATCGGTATATCTCTCCACTTTAGATGTGACGTATTCTTCTTCTTCCTTGCCCAATTATTTTCTCATTGAATTTACAATGAGCTCTCTAAATGTTTACAAAATTTAGGGAGAAATTGAAAAGACACAATTTCAACCATACTCCCTATTCACCTCTAGTGGCTCATTATAATTTAATACTACTTTATTTTAATATTATCTTCATTATTTATTTAATGCTAACTATTATTTGTTGTTATCTCGTTGCTTTCACTTTATTCAAAATTGAATTAAAATATTTATAACTTCCTAAACTATGAAATATGATTGGAGTTGAAATTGTACTTAGCTTTCTAGTTTTTTTAGTTACATTTTAACTGAAAATTAGTGAGTATGAGATATGCTTCAATTATTTTCCTTTCTACAACTCACCAACAAAAAAAAAAA